CCTCGGCCCCCTCCCCGCCGTCCCCTCCCCGGGCGCTGGCACCCCGGGGTGCCCCACCCCACCTGCACCCTACTTAAGGTCCTTCCCCGCTGTCCCCGCTGTCCCCGCTGTCCCCAGCCATGGCCAGTCCGCGGCTGCCCTCCGCCCTCGGGCTCCTGCTGCTCTGCCTGTGCCTCCCAGGTGGGACTGGGATATACTGGGAGGGACTGGGATGGAGACTGGGATGGAGACTGGGTTCCCCTTTCCACCTAGGGGACTGGGATGGGGACTGGGATACACTGGGAGGGGACTGGGATATAGGGATGGAGACTGGGATGGAGACTGGGTTCCCCTTTCCACCTAGGGGACTGGGATGGGGACTGGGATACACTGGGAGGGGACTGGGATATACTGGCAGGGACTGGGATGGAGACTGGGTTCCCCTTTCCACCTAGGGGACTGGGATGGGGACTGGGATATACTGGGTGGGACTGAGAGGGAGACTGGGTTCCCCTTCCCACCCAGGGGACTGGGATGGACTGGGAGGGACTAGAGGGGACTGGAAGGGACTGGGGAGACTGGGATGGAGACTGGGAGACAGGGATGAACTGGGATGGAGACTGGGGGGACGGGGATGGAGTGGGATGGGGATTGCAAGGACTGGGGGGGAACTGGAATTGACTGGGGGGACTGGGATGGAGACTGGAGGGACTGGGAGGGAGACTCTGGGGACTGTGGGGAGACTGGAATGGACTGGGAGTGACTGGGAAGGACTGGGATGGATTGGGAGGGACTGGGATGGGAACTGGGAGGGACTGGGAAGGACTGGAGTGGAGACTGAATGGACTGGGATGGCAACTGGGAGGGCCAGGGACGGATGGGATGGAGATGGGGGGTTACTGGGATGGACTGGGATATGCTGGGAGCCGGGGGGACCCAGGTGTCCGGGCACTGCTGACACCCCCCCTTCGGCCCAGACGCCTCCGGCCGCTGCGACTCGGGATCCCGCCTGGCCCCGCTGACAGCCGGAGTGGATCCCTGCAAGGATCCCGCCGGATTCCTCAGCCCCCAGCTGGGCGGGGACATGGCTGGATCCTACGGAGGCGGATCGGGATCCTACGGGGGTGGATCGGGATCCTACGGAAGCGGATCGGGATCCTATGGGGGCGGATCGGGATCCTACAGCAGCTCGGGAGGCGGAGGCTCTTCAGGATCCTACGTGTCTCCGGGATCTTCCGGGGGCAAGCCAGGGTCCTATGGCAGCAGACCGGGATCCCACGGGGATGGCTCGGGATCCTTTGTGTCACCAGGATCTGGTGGGCCGCAGGGATCCTACGGACTCGGGTCTTATGGGGGCGGATCCGGATCGGGGAGACCCAGCTCGCATGGGGGAAGCGCGTCCTATGGGGGAGGCGGATCCTATGGAGGATCCAGTTCAGGATCCTATGGAAGTGGATCTGGATCAGGCAGACCTGGATCCCAAGGGGGAAGTGGATCTGGATCGGGCAGACCTGGATCCCAAGGGGGGAGTGGATCTGGATCAGGCAGACCTGGATCCCAAGGGGGAAGTGGATCTGGATCAGGCAGACCTGGATCCCAAGGGGGAAGTGGATCTGGATCGGGCAGACCAGGCTCATCTCAAGGAGGATCCAGTTTGGGATCCTCTGGGGCTGGATCAGGATCAGGAAGACCCGGATCCCAAGGAGGAAGCGGATCTGGATCCTACGGAGGCGGGTCAGGATCCTACGGGGGATCCAGACCCTATGGAGGATCCAGTTCCTATGGAGGGTCTGGATCCTATGGAAGTGGGTCAGGATCCTATGGGGGATCATATGGAGGATCCGGTTCAGGATCGGGCAGACCTGGTTCCCAGGGGGGCAGCGGATCCGGATCAGGCAGACCAGGATCCCACGGTGGAAGTGGATCTGGATCGGGCAGACCCGGATCCCATGGAAGCAGTGGATCCCACGGGGGAAGTGGGTCTGGATCAGGCAGACCTGGCTCCCAGGGGGGCAGTGGATCCCAAGGCGGCAGTGGATCAGGATCCTATGGGGGATCAGGCTCCTATGGGGACAGCTCAGGATCCTACGGGCTCCCTGAATCCTACGGGGATGATTCGGGATCCTACGGGGGCTCATCAGGATCTTACGGAGGATCAGGATCCTATGGGGGTGGATCAGGATCTTATGGGGGACCGGCATCCTATGGGGGTGGATCGGGATCCTATGGGGGCGGATCGGGATCTTACGGGGCATCAGGATCCTATGGGGGCGGATCGGGATCTTATGGAGGATTGGGATCCTATGGGGGCGGATCGGGATCTTATGGGGGATCAGGACCCTATGGGGGCGGATCGGGATCTTATGGGGGATCGGGATCCTACGGGGGTATCCAGCGCCCTGGGTACAAGAACCCTGGGATCCCCTTCATACCTGGGCTGCGGGATCCCGCCCGGATCGGGGGCCACATCCCTGTGCACCGCGGCCCCCCCCTTCACGGCTCCGGCTCTGGATCCAGTGTGGGATCCGGCATGGGATCCGGCATGGGATCCGGCATGGGATCCGGCTACAGCTACAGCTCCGGGACTGGGACCTACAGCTCCGGGACGGGATCCAGCAGCGGATCCAGGGTGGGATCCGGCCAATCCCAGTCCAGCTGTGGGGATTGTGACAAATAGGGGTGCCCGGACGCCTGGGTCCCCCCCGGGTCCCAATAAAATCGTTGGATCGCGGCACCAGCCTCGTCCCTGTCCCCACACGTGTCCCCACACGTGTCCCCACGCCCACAGGTGTCCCCAAACGTGGCCCAGCTTGTCCCCACACGTGTCCCCACGCCCACGCGTGTCTCAGCCTGTCCCCACGTGTCGGCACTGGCTGAACTAGTGGGGCCGGTCTGCGCCCACGCCTGGGGACAGGGACATCAGGGACAGGGTGGGGACACCCGCAAGGACAGGGATGGGGACACTGGGGACATGGGGGAGATCCATGGGATGGGGACATCAGGGACAGGGTGGGGACACTGGGGACATGGGGGACATTCATGGGATGGGGACACCAGGGATGGGATGGGGACATTGGGGACATGGGGGACATCCATGGGATGGGGACATCAGGGATGGGATGGGGACACTGGGGACATGGGGGACATCCATGGGATGGGGACACTGGGGACAGGGACATTCATGGAATGGGGACCTCAGGGATGGGATGGGGACACCCACGGGGACACTGGGGACACTGGGGACATGAAGGACGAGACGAGGGCACCCGTGGGGCCGGTGGCACTTGGGGACATGGCGGGATGGGATGGGGACATCGGGGCTGGGCCAGGGTGGTGCTGGGTGACACTAGGGAGGTGGCCCTGAAACTGGGGCAGGAGGGTGGGGGGGGACATCAACCAGTATGAGCCTCAGAGAGACCAGTATGGCCCCATAAAGACCAGTATGAGCCCATAAGGACCATTATGAGCCCTAAGGAGATCAGTATGACCCCCAAGGGACTTGTATGAGCCTGAAAAGGGACCAGTATGGTCCCATAGGGACCAGTATGAGACCTAAGGAGACCAGTATGACCCCAAAGAGACCAGTATGAGCCTGAAAGGGAGGAGTATGAGCCCCGTAGAGACCAGTATGGCCCCAGATGGACCAGTATGAGCCCAAAAGGACCATTATGAGCCCTAAGGAGACCAGTATGACCCCAAAGGGACCAGTACAGGCCCTATAGAGATCAGTATGGCCCCTAAGAGCCAGTACAAGCCCATAAGGGCCAGTATGAGCCCTAAAGAGACCAGTATAGCCCCACAGGGACCAGTATAATCCCAAAAAAGACCAGTATGGCCCCACAGGGACCAGTATAATCCCAAAAGGGACCAGTATGGCCCCACAAGGACCAGTACAAGCCCATAAGGACCAGCATGAGCCCTAAAGAGACCAGTATGGTCCCAAAGGG